AGTTCTGTGGCTGCTGAAATCCTACTTACAGTAATGAATTTCAGTGCTGCTCGCCAGCCTAGGAGTGTTTAGGGGAGATAAAAGTCGAGCTGTGTGCTGTGCCTCTGACCTGGTTTTCAGTTCCAGACAACTTCCTGGTGTGGTTTCAGAAAGTTTGACTTTCCAGATGTGAGCACAGGGGCTTCGTTTTCTGGCTTGTAGTTTTATTGCTGTCTGCTTTAAGGCAGATTTTTGGAGTGGGTTGTGGAGGGTTTAACTTACTTTATATGGTTTGCTGGAGTCTGCATGCTGATGAGCTGCCAATTTGCATTCTGCAGCTTCGCTGCCGACACCTGCCCACAGCAGCACCATTACCCTACTTCCTGGGTCTCTGCTCTTCTATTTTCTACCTGCAACCATTATTTATTTAGTTATTTTTTTAGAGCCTGGGGAATTCTCTTGCTCTCGCTGTCTTTTTGCTTCATTCAAGCAATACACCATCTGTCTATTTCAGTCAGGGAGCTTGGATGTCAAAGTCACAGGCACCTGCACAAATTCATGAGGGATCATCATGGGAGTGGGAGTGTGTGCACCCTCAAAGGAAGACCCTGGGGCCCTCTTGATACCCCACCATCTAAACAAGTGCTTGCCAGGCAGCTGGTAAAAACAGACCTCTGAGTGCAGTGTGCAGGAAAGGGAAGAACAGTTTGGCTTTGGCTCCTAGCTCCAAGGCTGACACGCTTTGTTACGTGAGGCAAATTGCTTCCCTAGGCCGCTGCAAGGATTAAGTGCCAGGATATATACTAAGGGTTAAGCATGTAGCAACAGCTTTGGAGTTGAACAGTGATCATGACTCAGCTCCACCACTTAATAGCCATATGCCCCGGGTGTGTCCCCAGCCTTGCTCGAACTTCTGGTTCCTTAAGGGTAGACTGGCACAATAATTGGACTTACCTGGCCAGGTTGTGAGGATTAAGTTAATGGTAATAAGTCTCATTTGCTGACCAGTTACTCTTTCAGTATCTACGTGTAATGTAAGAATTGGCATGTGTATTTATGGTCTGATAATGTATATAATGTAGTTATGCTAACATACAAAAAGATTAAAAAGCAGTTGGTCTCTGCCTACATTTCTCATCTGTATAAAGTTGTATAGAATTCTATGTGTAAACATAGTATATAATGTGCATATGTACGTTAACTATATCTTTTAAGTCTGGTTCTGTTGCTTAAGCTGTAGTATAGTGGTGCAATTATGGCTCACTGCAACCCTGAATGCCCAGGCTTAAAAGATCCTCCTGCCTCTGCCTCCATGGTAGCTGGTATCACAGGTGTCCACCACATCTTGCTAATACTGTAATGTTTGGTAAAGACAGGGTCTCCCTATGTTGCCCCCACTGGTCTTGAAAACTCCTCCCGGGCTCCAGTAATCCTCCAGCCTCTGCCTGCCTCCCCAAAGTGCTGGGATTATAGGCATGAGCCACCACAGCTGCCAAAAATGTGTGCATTTGATCTTTAAAATAATTGAATACATAAAACATGGATACATATACATTACAGACATGTGATGAGAGAAAATGCTTTGTTAGGCTACGTGTTTTCTGTGTTTTAGTGCATCTCATCAGAACCCTTTAAGTTAATGGTGCAATTATTATGCCCAATTTATAGGTGAGGTAACTAAGATGTTAGGAGAGGTTGTAAATGCCTTCTGTATGAACTTACACACTCAGGTGTAAATACGTATCTAGAGATTATAGATTTTGTAGTAGCTTGCAATGTATTAAAAATGTTACCTATTTTCGATGCATGTTACAATACTTGGTCTTTTGGCAAAAAACTATTAGTTTTAAAAGAATCCTCTGTATTTTCACCATAATGCCACCCTGTCACTGAGAAAACATTACTCCTTGGATATAGTTGGCAAATTCCCATTTTGGGGAGGGATATCTGTGATCTGATCAGCTTTCACTATACAGGCTGCAGAGGCTTCACTTTGGGGCCTCCCCAGTCTTCCAGATGGGCAACCAGTGCACAGCATGTAAGACTAGGCCCTTGCAGGAGACTCTACAAAAGGACTAAGGTTAGGCCCCAGATCTGTGTCCCCTAAAACTGCAGATAGCAGCAGTGTGATGCCCTGGCTTTACCCATGAGTTAAAGGACTGTCGTGTGCTCTGAGAGGAACTGGGTCTTGGCCCAATATTAAGCATCAGGTTCAGTCCTGAGCAATTGTACAATTAACATTTTGGACCCTTCAGAAAAGACCATAGCTTTTGAGTTTACATACCAATCTCTAATATAGTCGTGTATACGCACATGTTTATTATGCGGGATAAATGGAAAATGACAAGAACTCCCTGCCCCCTAAAACAAAGCTTTGTAAGTTTTCCAGCAAACAGAATTTTCTCTGAGAATATTAGTTTCAGTCCTAGTCATTCATTGGTATAAACTTTTCTCATGACAACCTGTGATTGAGAATATGCTTTGATATATAGGAACATGCAGGTATGTGCTTGTGTATGTATACCCACAGCCCCCATTTACAAGTGCACACACATTTGTCAACTTTCCCAACATTGTGCAATACCTGCAGGAAGAAGCAAGCATGAACACAATCACACAGTTAGCTGGTTGTCTCAGATGGTGGTGTTTAACCGCAGGAGTGCTGCAAGCAAAACGGGGGTTTAGGAATTGGCTTTTTGAAGCTCACCAGGTTCTAAGAAAGTCTGTAGTGCATAGGTCAGACAGACATTGTCTTAGCAGTAAAATGCTCTTAGTATGTGTGCTCGTGTGTATGCATGGGAGAGTGACTGCTCATGAAAACTGTTTCCTTCAAAAACGGCTACTTCCAGGAAGTAGAAACAGGCTTCAGAAGACATACGTAATAAAAGTTGTCAGGACATTGAGTGGGAACCTAAGTTTGAGATAGCAGTCCAAAGTAATTGAATTTCATTTTTTAATATGGAGAAGGTTTTGCTGTTTAATACGTTGCTTTGAGAAATAGCTGGCTGGGTGCAATGGCTCATGCCTCTCATCCCAGCATTTCTGGAGGCTAAGGCAGGTGGATCACCTGAGGTCCAAGAGTTTGACAATCAGCCTGGCCAACATGGTGAAACCCCATCTCTACTAAAAATACAAAAACTAGCTGGGTGTGGTGGTGCATGCCTGTAATCCTAGCTACTTGGGAGGTTGAGACAGGAGAATCACTTGAACCAGGGAGGTGGAGGTTGCAGTGAGCCGAGATCATGCCACTGCACTCTACTCTTGGCGACAGAGAAAGACTTTGTCTCCCCACCCAAAAAAAAGTGGGATGAAGGAATGGCTACTTCTTGGGCGTTGTCCACAGAAGATAAATGCCAGCCTCTATTTGTGCGTGAAGCATATGCATGGCATATGGGATTCCTTCAGGCTTATTTTGTCACCTCTGCCCACAGTTTGTGGGGGAGGACAGTAGTGGGATGATAAGAATCTGCATCTACTGGCCAGGTCTCTTAAACTTGTTCTCTTCTGCCATCAGTCTTCTTTACATTTCACATAAAATTTATATTCTTATCTCTGTTTTGGATAAGAGCCTGTTTTTGGAAATTCTAACGTGTAAACTTTATCTGTCATCTCCTCTTACCCTCCTATTTAGTGCAGAAGGGCTAAGGTATAAACCAGTATTTTAGGAAACCATTATCTCCCTCCCACCACCTAGGATAAAGCTAGTGACTTGTTGTAATTAACATATTCGTACATACTGTGTAAGGAGAGCACAGGAGTCCCAAGTTTAACATCACTACTGCCACCATTGCCCTCAATAATGAAGTGGGCACAGACTTCAGGGTCAGACGGTTCTTTGCGTTGCACCCTCTTTGAACTCTTGCTAGATAAGACTTTGGGCAAATCATACAACCTATCGGATCCTTCCTGTCCTCATAAAATAAGGGTAACACTCCTATTAAGTGTCAATCGACAACAGGCAATACAAGTTGATTTATAACCTGCGTGGTCTTCATATGTAAGGAGTTTACAGAGAAGGGATGATTAAATATACTGAAATAAGATGATGTACGCTGTTAAGACACCCTGCAGTGTGGAAAAATGACTGGACAATAAACCCTCTGCAGGTGGCACACAGGGTTAAACTGCTCATGGATGAAGTTCTCATTGGTCAGATGATAACATGCCTTATCAATTAAGGATGCACATTCTGGAATCCTAGGGTGATCACTGGCTTGCTGTGTGACCTTGGAGAAATGAATCTGTGTCTCATTTGCTTCAACTGTGGATAACAGTGTACAATTTATGAGGTACTGCCGCAGTGTTTTACAGAGATGACTTTCTTCTCCCTAACAATATTAAGAGGTCAGTGCAATTATCCTGAGGTGCAGGTGAGGAAACTGAGCCACAGTGCTTTGGTTTAATTTGTCTTGGATTGCCGCCAGCAAGTGTAAGAATCAGAGTGTATACTCAATGTCTGTTTCCAGTATGCACATTAACAAAATCTTTCTTCCTAATTTGATAGGAATATGAAGATAAAATGAGACAGGATTAAGATACTAAGTAACTAAATGTGGTGGACAGTTCAGCCTTGATAAGATTTTTAAATGAAATAAGGAACACAAATTTTGGCTCCTAATGAGCACTCGATGTATGTGAACTCTAGCACTTACTGTATTTTTTCATCTTATCCAAGGTCTCCCAAAAAGGCATTAATAGCTGAACATATTTATTTGAAATGAATGATGTCTTGTTTTGTTTAAAATGGAAGACTGACATGTCCATGCTGAGAGATAGCTAAACTTCCTTGGGTGTTTCTTAAACAGAGTGAGTTCCAGTGACTTCTTTAGAAAAATGAGTGAGGGAGGGAAATATTTTGAACCACAAATCCAGGGTACTTGCAGGAGGCATCTGGTGGCTGCAGCAGCCTGCTGCTTACCACCCCACATCCCCGGCAGACCCAAGTACACTCAAACCTGTGGGTGACGAATCTACCCACTGAGAAAACCTATGGAAGCCAAAGAACTCAGAACACCAACTTGTACCTTTTCAGACTAAGCTTTTATTTTTTTGATATTACAAACCAGTTTTCTTTATTCACAAACCACTGTAAGTGATATAAACACTAATTTCTAAAGACAGATATACACATTTTCTGGGTTTGCAGATTGCGTGATGTGTGTGTTAAGAAGTCACTATATGCCACACGTAATATTAATTTTCCATAATTCATAATAGCAATAGTTATTTAGATAAATGAAAACATTCCAAATAAATACTGTTTAAAAAAAATCCAAAATGTTTGTTTACATCTGACATACATTTTAAAATGACTTATTGGCATCTTGGAGGAGTGCCTGGACAAAAGATTCTGCAACTTCAGTTGGCACCCACTTACTCTAAATGATTTTATTAAAACTACATACAGTCATGGGGGAAAAGTACAGCTCATTGATGAAAATCAAAACCGCAAATGAATTTTACTTTAACCAACACAGTAAGAATTCTATGTTTGATTCCAAACACAATACAAATTCTGGATTTTGAAATCTGAGGCATTTGGGAGAAATCATCTTATTCTCCATAGCCCCCTGCTCCTACTCTTTCTTCCCTCTGGAAGATGCCATAGTATTATATAACACATTTCATTTAAGAATGTCAACCAGGCACCCACTGCCATAACTGTTTTCCAGGTGGGGGAATGAGAATGTCTCAGTGATGCTATAAAACACCCCCTTGCCCCTCCCCTCCCCCACCCAAATAAGTCTGGTGAAAAGAACACTTGATACGCTTTTGGCTGATAAGCAGTTCCCCCCTCCCCCTTTTCTCTTTCCAAGATCACTATCTGTCTTAGATATCGAAGCTACAGAAACTTCGTTTTCAAATCTTGTGAAACTTTATTGATGGTTTAATATCCAACTGATCTTACGGCATGCACATAGGATGGCAAGAGAAAGCTGGATCACACTTTTTTTTTTTTTAAGTTTTGTTTGGTTTTGTTTTAAAGCAGAGTTGTTACAGCGGATTGGCAGGTTCACAGCGGTGAGTTGATAACTTACTGAAGTGCATGCCGCAGGGCCTGCACTATACACATGAGGACTTAACCTATGGCAGCAAAACTACTCAGGGACAGCCTGCTGCTGTTGTTTTTATTTAAATACAAAAACAGGAAGACCCGTGACAGATACCCCAACTTAGGTTAACTTGTAAACAGGACAACGTGGAAAGTTCAAACAGAAGTTACAGACAAACTGCAATTTTTCGGCTGTGTCTCTCTGGCCCTGCATCCTAGAAAGGTGGGGAGACTTTGTTTTTCTGGGATGAAGAGGGTGGATCTACATTTTTTGTTGTTGCTGCCTTTTGACAAGTGTCTTGGGCCTTGGAGACAGGACTGAAGAGATCATTTCTGAGACAATTCTTGGGCATGGGAAAGAGGTGGAAGGGCAGGATCTCACAGACTGAAAAATTGCAGATTGCTCACACAACGCAGTCACATTTCAAAAAGTACCAAGCTGATGAAAATACCATGATTATCTCTACTCAATGATTGCAATACTTGTAAAATGCTTCTATAAATCTGAATATGATTATCATGTAATTCCATAAAAATTATACGTCTGTCTCTAACAGTTGTTCTACTAGGCTAAAACTAAAGCTTCATAGACTGTTTCTAGAACTTAACAACTCCACTGCACAGATGTAAATTTTATACATTTTTTTTTTTTAACTGTTACAAAGAATTTAAGTTTTTATTACTTTCTCTTTTTGGAAAAAAAGAAAAAAATAGAAACAGTGCTTTTTATCACCTTTTTATTAATGTTATTTTTTCCCTCCCATAATATAAAAGTCAGCAATGATATCAATAATTTATTATACTGGAAGAAATATAAAAAGAATGCTTGTTGATGGCCTAACTAGCAGGTTTCTTTTTTTTTTTTTTCTTTTTTNTTTTCTTTTTTTGCCTAAATAGCGACTGGTTAAGAAGCTGAATACTGCTGGGTGGAATGGTTAAAGGGTGGGTTTGCACAGCTTCATTCAACTCGGATGCACAAGTGCTACCAGAAGCACCCCCTTAACAACATAACCTTTGGCTTGAACTGGCAATGAGTAACTTAGAACCGTTGATAAATGATTGTTGGTGCAGTGGGTCGTTTAGATTCATCAGTTACATTTATTATTATTATTATTTGTCTTTTAGCCAAACCCAAGTTCCAATCCCCTAAGCCCCTCCCAGCCTCCCCTGTCACAAAATAAGATAATGCAGATGCAGAAAAGAATGACAACTGTAGTCACTTACACTCTTCCCAAACAGCTGATAGCCCCAGTAGCTTAATATTCAGCATATATAATTCATTTACATAATATAGCACTCTGGATATGGCCCTAAACCAGTTTTTATTCATATCTAGCATCTGTCTAGATCAACCACAAAAACTCCTACAGCCAGCAACCAAAACTACGGAACCTTCAGAAATTAAAGACCCACAATATTAAAATACACAGAACAAAATATCTGAGGTATAAGATAAAAAATGTAATTTTTTTCCTTTTTACTTTTATTTTTTTTTTTAGAGTTGCTAAAATGATGCACTACTGCATGTATTGCAATACTCAGGCCTCGGAAAGCTTCCTTTCTCCCCACCTTGGAAGGTTTTTATGGTTTTGTCATTTAGTATGGAGCAAAACGGTTGTATCCCCCTCGGTATATACTAGCCTGCAATGAAGAAAGAACGAGACCCACATCATCAGCATGGCTCCTAGTCTTGGCATCAGTCAAAGGTGCAAAAGCATTCTGAAACAAAGCAATTTGAGGGGTGTGTTTTTTACATTTTCCTTTTGCAACATGTGGATCATCAAAAAGACTAATGTGAAAAATACACTCAAAACCAACCGAAATTGAGGCACCCCCTACCCATCCCAGGTCATTCTTGGAGAACTAAAGATAGGGCCATTCCTGACCTTCCTCAATAGCTCCAAATTCTTTCAGCCAGTCCTCTTTGCTAAAAGGACTCTGTCATAAGCTGGACAGCTGAAGGATTTTCACTGTCTCTCTTTGTTTTTATTTTTCTTGGACTGAGTACGCTTTCCCCGAGGGAACAGAATTATCTACACTTGAGGTTGAATTTAGACAACTTACTGAATGAAAGTAATCCAACTCTCCTTTCCAACACATTCCTCAAGTGGACTAGGTGTTGAAGCAGAGTTGTTAAATGCAGGATTGGGATGAAAATCTCAATCTACTTCTTGACTTGGCTCTGCAAGCTGTATGGAATCTGATCTTGAGAAGGGAGTTGTACAGATGAATTGCTTGATGTAATTAAGTTTGTGCAAAACAATGTTTCGAAATCAAGGCTGAATTTCTATGACCCAGCTTCAGTGAACTGTCTGGCCATGGCTTTAATGGCTACAAGGTGGCACTTAACAATTTCCTTTGTCTAAAAGTATTGGCAATTCAAATGAATGCCTATGGGGATTCATTTTTAGGATAAGGACTGATGTTCTTGATCCAAGCAGAAAACTGCATGCCAAAGCTTTGTAATGATTGCATATGCTCTCACATGATGGGCACGCCTTACTGTACTCAAGACTTTTGGTGCATAGAAGTTTGAACAAGTACAGGCAAATTCACCCCACCCTTACCTCCCATGTTTTACCCTCCCCCCACCCCCTCCCCAAACAAAAACCCAGACCTGCCCCGAAACAAAAGACAACCCCCAAACCCAGCTGATTCCTTCTACTTTCCTATGTACTAGGTACACAAAGTGTGCCCCTCTGTCTATTTTCTTTCCTGGGCGACTATGACTTTAAACATGAATTGTAATAGGGGAGGAGAGGCAGTCAGATTCTCAGCTGCCTGACAGCAGAGGCCTGGAAGTGTGCAGCTTAGCTCCTCTGAAGTCTGTGCTGGGGCTGGAACCTTGGGGCTATGTGAATGAGCAGCAAGGGAGGAAAAAAAAAAGAAAAAAAAAGTTCTGCATTGACACTGCATTCTGTTAGTGATGGATTTAATTATCAAAATGACTAATTATTCCATTAAGGTAAGTGCTCTGCTAGGTGAGACTTGCAAAATTAGAAATATAATAACTTACATGCACTACATTGCCAAGAAATTAAGACATTTATCAAGTTTACTGGGAGGATTAATGTGGCATTTTAGCTGCTGTTAGCACAAGAGACAAATTCAATTAAGGGGAAGTGAGAGGAAGTCAACCCATACTGAGGTCCCAGCTGGGGGAAGGGAAGGGAGGCAGGAAGATGTGAGGACAAGGAGAAACTGCTACTCACCATGGCACCAACGCCGTAGGTGGCGGCTGGAGCAAGTGCGTGGTGGTAGGGGTCGGCAGCATAAACTCGTCCGTAACTGAAAGGAAAATAGAGGTGAAGATTGATCCATAGGATGCAATTACAAAACAATAACAATCACAAAATCCAAAATACCGAGACAGTATGGAGGGGCCCTACTCATCTTGGAATAAGAAACATACTCTACTCTGTCATGTAACATAACAAAAGTTCATCTGTGCACAGTGCGTTTTTTTGTGCATTTCACATGGCTGATAATGCTATGCTTAACAGATACATACATATATGCACATATACACACGTACACATATTCCCTGCCTCCCCCCATAATACCGTTTCTACACTGCTCAAGTAGCTGCCTTAGAGATTGAGGTAGGCAAGAAAGAAATGACCAGAAAAAGTGTTAAGCCCGGCACACACAGAGGGTATGATAATCCTCGAGAAGACTGCCTTTTTCTCTTGATTTCGTTGGCACCATTCAAGTGAAATAGGGTGAATCAGAAAGGGTGAAGTGACCTGTCTGTGAAATTAGTGTCTTCGAGTGGAAATGAACAAGCATATTTGAATGGAAGCACCCTTGAAGGGTCTGTGGGACTCCCATTCCCACTCAATCTGACTGATTTGGTTTTGATCCTATCATTCCAGAACTTGTCTCTCATTCATCAATGACCAGGTTCTGGGATTCTGGGAAGGGAGAGGCATTTGACATAACCAATCTTTTTTTTTTGAGATGGAGTCTAGCTCTGTTGCCTAGGCTGGAGTACAGCGGCATAATCTTGGCTTGCTGCAACCTCTATATCCCAGACAGAAGCAATTCTCCCGTCTGAGCTTCCCGAGTAGCTGGGATTACAGGCACAAGCCTCCACACGCAGCTAATTTTTTAATAATGTAGTAGAGACAGTGTTTCACCATGTTGTCCAGGCTGGTTTCAAACTCCTGACCTTAGGCAATCCACCCTCCTCAGCCTCCCAGAGTGCCAGAATTACAGGCGTGAGCCACCAAGCTCAGCCGACACAACAAATCTTAATGACATTTACTCATCTTTGCGTTTTTCTGCCTCTACCATCCCACTCCCTCCACTGTCATGGCTTCTGGAATAGGCTTTAGAATAAAAATGGGAACAGGATAGAAACCAAACATACTGAATGCGAAATATCTGGAAGTGAACATCTTTTTTTAAAAAAAGGACTCGGATGTGAAGTCATTTGCTCAAGGTCCCATAACTAGACAGAGCTGATCCTTGAGTATGTGTTTTTGTTATGTTGCCCAGGCTGGTCTTGAAACTCCAGGGTTCAAATAATCCATCCGCCTCAGCCTCCAAAAGTGTTAAGACTACAGGCGTGAGCCAACTGCATGCAGCCTGATCCTTGAATCTCTTAGGGCAACTTGCATGCTTGTCCACAGCATCCTGTGCCATACTTGTTTGCCCTGACAGATACTTTTCTGGAGATACTTTGGTCCTAGTTTACTGTGCGAAGCTGAGGTCCTTCCCTGAAAGCTGATCCTGAAATAGAGATTCCTATGTAAGTGACTTATCGAATAGGGTGCCCTCAAGAGGAAGAGAAGGGAAAGCAGGTCAGAGCAAAGAGGGGAAAAAAAAGGCAAGATCTGAGCTGAAGAAAAGCTTCTACCTGATCCTGAGTTTCCTGCTAGAGTGGGTTCCACCTGGAGGCAAGTGGGTTGGCTCTTTAATGCCCACATAAGTTAAACATTAGATGTGGGCTTTCCTGAGTGGTGAGTGATAGACCACTGAGCTAAAGTGGCTTCCTCCCACATGAGGCCAATTTGCTGGAGAAAGGAGAGGATGTATTGTTAGCAACCAACACTCACAGCAGCTCGATGAATGCATCAGCCACTCAATGGGATCTACATGGTATTTTGATTCTTTGACCGATGTTTTGAAGGAACAAGGCTGGAAGAAATGGTTCGTCTGCATTATCAACCTTAAGCTCATCTCTCATCCTTTACAGTCCAATTTGTATGTGCTTTCCCCTCTCCCTTCCTGTTTTCCCCCATTTTCCTTACAGCCTTTCTTATAGTTGGTAGATAAGCATATATTTGATTTCTGTCATTTGACCCTTCACACTGTGGAGTCTGGGAAGGTCAGGAAAGTTGCATGGAGGACCTTCTCACTCAGACTCCAAAGTATACCTCAGGTAGAAAAAACAATTGATTATACTAGGGTTGCACTGGGCATGTTCCAACTCCCAAGCCCATCTGCCTGAGTGAAAATAGTCTAGATGAGGCTTTTCGGTGTGAACACTGATCCTCCAACAATGACTTGAAGAGACGTCTCTCTTCTGGGGTGAATCTGTCAGTGAAACTAACAGACGGCTCCCTCTTGCCTTTCGTTCATTTGGAGACACCCTTCAGTCCTTCTGCTGATCAAAAAATTGTTTTTAATCAAAGATCATCCTTCTCTCTGGGAGGAAAAGCAGGTATAGGTCCAAGGGTAAAAGATGTGTTAAGAATGATAGTTTTTGAAGAAGTAATATATTCATGGAGGTCACTCCTGAGACCTGGACCTCTACCCACTTAACTTAGAAGTACATAGTAACAGGGGTCAAAGGAAACGATATGTAACTTTGGCACTGGTCTTTACTTCATGAGACAAAGTCTGATTGGTCCAGAGAAAAGGGTGTTAATAGGGTTGTTTTCAAGGTACTTTAATTTGGCAAAACTGTTTCGTAAATAGGATATAAACTGCAAAGGCAAACTAAAATACTTCACTTTGTTAAGTGATGTTACGGCATGGTGTTCCTTCAAAACAAATGTGAAAAGATGCAGATGGTTCATTTAAAAATTGGGGAAATGGTTTTACTGTGGCAGTAATTTCCTCTTTTGGGGAGACACTATCTTGGCAGTTCGAATGTATTTAGTACAAGTGTAGCTCCCACCTTTTCCTACTGCATACTTTAATGGTAGATTCTTTAACACTGGGCATGGTTTCAACCTTGTGGAAAACCCAAGGTAACAATTTGGCAGTATTCTCTTCGAAGGCAGAAGAAAAATAGAGCAGCACTGAACTATTCCTCAAAAATGAGCAGGCTTCTTTTCTCCTCAGGGTGACCTCTACCTTCAGAATCCAGTGGTTTTATTATGATTAATAAATTTCATTTCCACAGAGGAAAAGACACCATGTCAGCTCAAACTGAAAGCAAGGAGGCTTCTTTTCAAATGCTAATTTCTAAACACGCCCTCGTGTGACACTACAATTTAGACACAAGGTTATTAGGGAAGATGTGGACTTGAGTGCTGTGTTTGCAGCAGATATGCCAAGCACGTCAGCAATCTGATGTCCTCAGAGCTGGCTACGCACAGCCCCAGGGAGAGAGTGAGCAGCAATACCCAGGACCCGTGCAGGAATGATGGGAAGATGGCTTACGGTCGCCACGTTAGGACATGACCGGCAATATGATCCACACACCATGCATCCCTGGCCAAAGTGGGCAGTAGTGCAGTCAGATCATGATGATCTCCATGTCTCCACATTCCATCCATCAGTAATTTCAGAAGAAACCTTAAATGTGTCCACTTCACTCCATGCACAGGAAGACTACGTTACTAGAAACGACTAGTAGTTAATCAAAACCAACCCAACAGCAGCCTAAATTCTTGTCTCTTTTGTTCAACTCTTGCTCTTTCAAACCAGCAGCCATTTACAAGTATCAAGTCTTTCAAGTCTGTGCATCCATCTACCCACTTAAATATAAATCTGTATACATCTAATCCTATCACTCCCTGCTTAAAGCCCTCCAATGGTTTTCCACTGATGCTAGAATAAAATGCAAGCTTGCAGAAGCTGTCTCTGCCTCTCTTTCAGTCTTCAATTCCTTTCCTTGGTTACTATGCTCCAGGTACACAGGCTTTCTTAATCATTCCTGCACACATGCATATCCATTCTCTGCTCAGTCTTGGCACTTGTTTGCCCTCCACCTCGATTTCTTTCATCTTATGTTTCAAATCAAATGTCTCCTCCCTAGAGACGAAGAGATACTTCCTTTTTGAGACAGTCTCACTCTGTCGCCCAGGCTGGAGTGCAGTGGCACGATCTCAGCTTGCTCCGCCTCCCAGGTTCAAGTGACTGTTCTGCCTCGGTCTCCCCAGTATCTGGGATTACAGGTGCCCACCACCATGCCTGACTAATTTTTGTCTTTTTGGTAGAGACAGGGTTTCACCATGTTGGCCAGGCTGGTCTCAAACTCCTAATTTCAAGTGATCTGCCTGCTTCAGCCTCCCAAAGTGCTGAGATTACAGGCATGAGTCATCACACCTGGTCTGACTGCCCTTTTTTCTGAGGGCATTTTTCAACTTAATCCCTACCCCTTCATGTCCTATTGCAACTCTAATAATCCAATTTCCCAGTCCACCTGATCATTTACCTTTTACCTTCCTGGAATGAGAGCCCCATGGAGGCTGGAGCAGTGTCTATTTTGTCTGTCTTTCCATCCTCAGTGCCAAGCACCAACCCTGCCACAGTGCAGGTAGAGAGGGGCCAGCCAATGGCACTGCAGGAGAGAAGGCAGCAAGACGAAGGAGTAAAGAGAGAAATGGAGCCTGGAAAGACACTCATGTCCAGCATTACAATTCCATTAGTAGATTCTATCAGCAGAAAGATTCTTTCAGCTATGCTCTTTAAAGATTCTGGGTCAGCTGCTCGCAGATACATTCAGAATCCTCCAAGACACTCAGAAGAAAAGTTTCTGGGGACTCTAGAAATAGTGTATAATTTTTACATCGCTTCTGAGAGTTTGCTAAACACTGGCCAAGTTGCCATAAAACTCATCAAAACCCTTAAGGGAAAAACTAAAAGGCACAAAAGAGAACTGCTTTCCTGGTTAACTCCCCATAGCTTGCAACCATCATGAGATGTCATCTTTTTGACCTTCAGCGACAAGTTAAAACTGGGAAACAACCTGAGGACCTAGGGAGAGCCAGGACTTGGGAAAAGAAGACCGAAGTTTGGGTTCTGCTTTTACGATGTCCTTGCTTTCATGACTTGGACAGAGCGTGCTGTCTCTGAGCCTCATCTTCCTCATACGTAAAGTGGTAGTTTTC